TTATATACATTTATATAAATATATTTGTAATTTTACTACTTAACTGATGGCTGGTCATATTTTGCAACTAGGTATCTCAGTTATGTTGAGCAATTTGGAAAACTCAGACATATATTTATTTTCAATGGAATCAGTGAAACTTAAGCTAGCAATCATTCACAATTTTGACGAACAAAATTTGACAGCAATTTTTGATTAAGTGCCAGGTCATCTTTGGCGTAGTCCCATTTATCAGAAACCTGCGCGATATTCACAAAACAGTCAATCAGTCTGCCAATCAGTCAGTGAGCCAACTGATCACTCAATCAAACTATCAGACATAGACATCATCATGTCATCTCATATTTGCCCAAAATTAAAAAAATTTAAGCTACAAAAACTGGATTCTTATTTTTACTTATTTTTTAAATATATAAAATATACAAAAATAATGTCTAGAATATAAAATATATTCAAAATTGCAGAAAGTAATGAAAATTAAAAATAAAAATAAAACAAAAGTAATGAAAATTAAAAAAAAAAAAAAAATAGAAAAAGTTGTAAAAAATAAATAAATGAAATAATACATTTTGTCAAAGAATCTGTGACTAGAAAAACTTAATTAAAAAATTACAAATCTATTGCCTAAGATCTATCAGTGGCTGCTGCATCAGTGCAATGAAAGCTGTTTTATTAATTAGAAATCAATGTTAAATCAGATCGTTCATCTCATTTGAGCTGGGAGAGAAATCTGTTGACTATCTGGCAGAGTGGGTCTATGCGTTTGTTTGGCTAGTATCGTGCTCGTATGTAGAACACAGAGGTAGAGGTGAGACAAGTTTTGTGTAGTTTTGAGCATGATGCACCGATGACAACAATTATAAAGAAGACGGATTTGCTAACCACAAACAACTGGCAACTGGAAAACAACAGCAACAACAGCAACAACTAGCACAACTAACTATAGTAACTGTCGACAACCAGTTGGGGCGTCTCTTGGCTTAAAGTAGGTCTGCTCCAAGCCTTTGTGTATCTTGTTAAGTATGTTTGCTAGCTGCTGTTGTTGTTGTTGTTGTTGTTGTGGTTCACGTCAATTAGAAGCATGTGAAGAGAACGTATTTTAGTTATGTTGCAATATTTGTCATATGACGACGACGACGGCCGTGCCGGTGGGTCGAATGGTGGGTCAAATGCTGTGAACTAGAATGCCTCAGTGCTGTTGAGTCTGAAAGGGCTATGCGCCAAGCAGGATGCGCCGTAAACTGTTAAGAAAGTTGCATGCGGATGCGCTGGCTGTGGCTTTTAATTGCCTCAACTGGACAGGTACCAGGTACCAGGTGCGAGGTATGCGAGAAGAGATATGTGGTAGGGGTGTGAGAGGCTTTCTGGTAAACAAAGTCGCGCAAATAATATGTAGAAAAACTGGACAGACTGTGGAAGAAAGTCAGCCAGTTGCCAGTTGCCAGTTGCTCGAAACTGAGCAAGTTTGTGCTCGTCCCAGACAAGACAGACAGCTGGACAGCGTTACAGCGCTACAGCAGTGTGGGACAGTGGGGCAGATGAAATGGCCAACAGACGAAAGACAACAGCCAGCAAAGGAGCTGTCAGGTTGGTTAAGCAAGGTGCGTTACTTTTACTGCTCAGCGGGCACAGCTTCAGGTTTGCAATTGGCAAAAAAAAAAGCCTAAATAAATAACAATAACAATGCCACTAAATGATAGTGAAAATATTTTCAGTTTTTGGTCATGACATAAAAATGAAAAAAAAAAATTTTTTTAAATGTCTACATCTCTACAAAGCAATGAGCTGAAGACGCTTCTGGACGCAAATCTTTTTGAGCAGCCCACGACAGATCTTTGACGCAACGCTAATGAATTGAATAAATGTTTTTCTTTTTTGTGGGAGCAACTGTCTGAGCCAGGCCTAGAGAAAGGTACTTTGAAGCGTGGCTGCGCAGCACGATGACTGGCGGCAGTTAATGATCGTGGCTGCCTTTTGCACTTCAAATTCAAGCCGAATCGTTAAATGCAATTTGTCAGCATCTCTGCACAGGGCCATAGCACATTTGTCACAGTTCCCGAGTTGACTTTGGGCAACTTTCCTCTGGGCGTCTGTGTGTGTGTGTGTGTGTGTGTGTGTGTGTTTGTGCAGATCAATTGCAATTGTTTGGCAGCGACTTTCGCGGCTGTATCAAAAATAAATTATTTGTTGTCAATTCGGCAGCAGCCTTGAAATTGCAGTTGGCTGTTACGAGTCGTTGGCGACGTGACTTGCGATTTCTTCACTGGAATTTCGTTGTCTTCTTTTGAGATTCGCTGCATTATATGGTCACGATGCCCAAAACTTGCTCATCAGCTGTGCAATTTGCAATACAACACCAGCAACAACAAAAGAATGCTAAGTATATATATTTTTGTGGGTATTTGCTGAGTGAGTTTTGAACTGTTATCTGTTTGTCGCCTGAACGCCATAAAGCATCATGAATTTATTTTATGTTTTATGTTTAACGACCTCCAAGCTGCAGTAGCAGTCGCCAGCAGTCAGAAGCCAGCAGCAGTTAGCTCCCATGACCGCAGCTTGACATTTTCGCATATTGCAAAAACTAATAAAACGAAGGAAAAAAAAAAAACGAAAATAAAACAAAATTTGCATGAGGCTGGAAAATTAGATTTTCCGCTCATTTGCACCGAGGCGGCCAAATACAAAACATATTGCACAATCTTCTGCTTCAATGCATGTAATTTGGTAGCAACTCACACACACACACACTCATGCATAGGGGCTGCACGTGTCTGCGTGTGTGTATGGGTGTGGGCCGTTCTCGAGCAGCAGCAGCGTTTTAAGCCAAACTAGGGCAGGTTAATTGCTGTCAGATAAAGAGCTCAGCAAATATGGAGCCCCACGTATCTAAATAAGTGCAACGCTCGATTTATCTTGCAGCTGTAAAATAAGACCTCGAGAAGGGTTTAAGAATAAAAATTAAATGTTTCTTAGTTTAGGTAAAAGCATGTGTGAAGATAAAGGAATTTAAACAAAATTTGACAAAGGGTATAGGGTATAAAAATAAAT